TTGAATGTTCAGCTAGCGCGCGTGCACCTGGCTTCTGTGGTGCGATACTTGGGTGTGTACAGTTGTTCGGTTATCTTTTTTTGGCCGAGTATTCCAGCATCTGGACATCTCCGGTGTATCTTCACTACCAAAAGGGTTGTCTCTCACATCCCGATGGGTCAATTGTTCGTCTAACATCGCTTGTTCACCCAAAAACCGATGAATCGCATTTTCTGCGCTACCTCGCACCAGGTGCTTCGTCAAAGCCGAGACGCTTCCAGAGGACATGGCGGCGGAGCTCACCAAGCAACACGGAAAGACCCGGTTCGACATCGCCGAGCCTGACCTGAAGGCTCTCACGGAGACTGTCAACACGTTGAGCACGAGCGTGAGCGACGCGCAGAAGCAGGGATCCGCCGTCGTAGATGACGAGATCGCCGAACTGCTGGCAGAACTCAACATCGAGCCTGGACAGCCGCTCGGGGGGCAAGCGGTGAGCGCAATTCAGGGATGGGCTACCATCGAGGACGATGCTGAGGTGGTAGGGGCTCTTCGGCTGGACGCGGCGGACAACATGGCGGCATTGCTAGCTGGAGCGCGCATTTCTTCCGGCTGCGATGAGGAAGATGAAACGGAAGATGGCGGTGGCGGTGAGAACACGGGGCGCGAGCGCCGTGCTCCACCGGCTTATAGTGAGCTGTCACCTCACTTCGGCGTCCTGGAATCGGCAGCAGATGAGAGTGGCAATGGAGACGCGGCGTTCCATCTGCAGAAAGCAAAAATGGCGATGATCGCAGCGCATGCCGCTAAGCGGGTGCGCCAGGCAGACATGAGAGAGTTTGTCGAGACGTAGTGAAGGCGGCGGGTGTACGTGGTTGTTTTTTTTTCCTTGCAGTCAGCTTCCTATGCACCTTTCTCGTTTCTTTTTGTTTTTTTTCCCGCAACATCGCAGCGGGTGCGCCGGGCAGTCATAAGGGAGTTTGTCACGACGTTAGCAAGGGTGCGGGGTGCATGCTTGCTTGATTTTTGTTTGCAGTGACCTTCCTGCATGTTTTTCTCTCTTTTTACTTGTGTTTTTTTTTCTTGCAACATAGCAGCCGGTGCGGCAGGGGTCAGATAAATTGGCACGACGGAGTGAGGTTGCGCCTGGCTGGTTGTGTGTGTGTTGGTTCTTGCTAAATCGAAGCCAGGTGCGCCAGGGAGACATGAGAGTTTGATCATCACGTAATGATGGCAGGGGCCAGCAGTACATGGTTGCTCGTGTTTTTGCAGTGGGATTTCTGTCGTATTTTTTTTTTACGCGCAAGTCTTTTTCTATCACCAACATCGAGGGAAGGCAGGCAACGAGGACTGAGAGTTAGTTTCGTCCACTATTAATCCACAATCTCGATCCATTTCGTACTCTGTTGGCCCCGCAAAGCGCGGACGCCACACTCACAACGTGAAGTCGAAGAGTACCTCAATAGTGCAGAACCTGCACTATTGAGGAATATTCAAAGCCCCAATAGTGCAGAACCTGCACTATCGAGGGCGCCCTTTTCAGTAGTGCAGGTGACTGCTATAGTGCAGGTGAATTCTCACGACAGACCCCTGCACTATATAGGGCCCACTACTGTAATGCATAGTCAAAGCCGACAGCATCCACCACGTCTCCTTGGTTCGGTAATGTTCACAATACACGTGTACACACGGGCCTGTTGTTTGTTGTTGTTGTTGTTGTTTCTCACATTAGCTCTAAAGAAAAAGATTGGGAGCCCGTGGTCTCAAAACCCGGCATACACGACCCCACGAAGAAACAGAAAAAAATAGGGTACAAAAACCACTCGGAAGAGAAACAAAATGATAGAAAGAAAGACCAGCTACCGCACCAAACGAGAAAGAGCGTCGAGGAGACCGATCAAAATAAAATAAAAGG